AGAAGCAGACTCCCTGCTGAGCAGGGAGCCCGATGCGGGACTCGATCCCGGGACTCCAGGATCATGACCTGAGCCCAAGGCAGTCGCTTAACCAACTGAGCCACCCAGGCGCCCTCTAGAAGTTTTATGCATAGTGATTTGATAGTTGAATGGTCTTTTAGAGGCTTTAGTGATTAGTTTTTGCCCAAACGGGGGGAAAAAAAATCCAGCCAGTTTTATTTATTCTTCTGTCTCAGACTCCATCCCTTGCCCTAGTCTATAGTTTAAGTAAGGAGAGAACATTTCCCCAAGAGGACCAAAACACCAAGGAAACTGAACAAGCATTGAACAACACATTAAATATATATGCCTTTTAGAATTAACTTTTAATATTAAGGAAAGGAAAGGGTGAATACAATTTTAAATAAACGTGAATCAATGCACCCAGTGTTCAGGCAGCACTGCTTGGGGCAAAGGCGCCTTATCCATATTGGCAGGTTCCGTGCCTCACAGGCTTGGCCAGCTGAGCTGAGCTTGGGAGGCTGTGCCCAGGTTCCACCAACTGGTGCTGAGCAGAGAGATGGGAGCCTGGGGGCTGCTCCCCTCCTCTAGGGGTAGGACATCCCACTTTACCCGGAGCCGGATGAAGCAGCTGAGGATTTAAGCAAGGCTTCTGGTGAACGTGGGGCCCCCGAGAACCAGGCTGGCATCAGTCTCCTACTCTTGCAGCGGGATGTCCCTGGGCCTAGGTGAGAACCAGGTAGTAGCCATCTGGATTCTGCACTGGAAGCAGGGAAAAGGGCACCACTGGGATGAGACAAGCCAAGCACCACTTCTGTGCTGCTCCCAAACCAAGCAGCTGGGAGTGCGTCTGCCACCCCCCAGTGTTCCTCCTACCCCAACTCAAGGAAGCCTCCCTTTGTCCTGTAGGAGGGATAGAGGACACGCATCTGAACAACCAGCACCACAAGCCAAGTGGCCAGAGGTGCTCTGTGCCAGGGGATGTCCAGCAAGCATCTTCTGCATTGTAGGGTGGTGGCAGTGGGACAGGAGAGAGGGGGCCTTACCTTCCCCTCTATTAAATTCCCTGACCCAGAAACTGGGACGTTTTATTCCTGAGCGGTAAATAGCTGCCTTGCAGCCACATGAATCTGTCCCTTTGACACCAACAAAGCTGGCATTCACATGTTTCCAGTTGACTGGAACGCAGTACTTGCCCCGCCCTACCCCCAGCAAACACATACCTTCAAGGAACCTCTTAATCTCATTTTAGGAGACAATATAAACACGATCTTGCCCTTTCTAGGGCCTGTCAGATACGCTTCTGTCCCCTCTAAAACCCCTACCTTTTTTCACCACAGCCACAAAATATGATTCATCCTTAAGATTCTGAACCACCTGCAGGGGAGAAGGGGTCACTGAGACAGTGCTGTTCTTAGAGCCAAACAGAAGCCAGGGCAGGGAGAGGGGCCTGAGGTGGGAGAGTGATCAAGGCCCTTGTGGGGCCTGGCAAGAGCCAGGGCTCACTTACCTGGTCGCTGAGGAGAATGAGGATGCCCCCGGGGCCTTGGTGAAAGAGCTGGTGGATCTGATTGGCTGGGAGGGCCAAGAGCTCAGCCAGTTTCCCCATCAGCTCGACAGCACTGAGTTCATCTAGAGAGATCTCTTGATAAAAGCCTGGGGGTGTGGGCAACACAGGGCAGGGATCAGCGTATGTGTGCGGGGGAGCTGAGGAAGCCCCAGAGACTGGGGAGGAGAGGGCAAGGTGACAACCTCTTGGGGGGTGGGGGCAGGAAGGAGTAAAGAAGCAAAAAGGTTTATAAATCCACTTACTCCTCACCTATTCCCCAGCTTTGGGGAGGCCTCAGACTGAGGGGAGCCCCCAACTTAAAAAGGGGGGACACCTGCATATGAATGACTGAAACCCAAATACAATGATTATAATGTTCTAATCCCACATATCAACAATGACAAAGTCAGATGGGTTTGGGGAGTAGAACATGGAGGAATAAGCCCAGGGGACATCTTGGAAGGCAAGGCCTGATCTGGTCATGGAAGACAGGGGAATGCCAAGGAAGGCATCCTGGGTCCCAGGAGTGGTGGAGGATCACCCCCTCCCCAGGCCCGAAGAGGTTTCGCACAGCCACACCTGAATCTCGCCTGGAGAAAGAGGCCAGAACCTCACCTGAGTCAGGGTTCTTAGGAACCTCCTTCTCTTGCCTAGAGGCCTCCTGAGCCACATACAAAGTCAGCCGGTGACGAGTGCGCCTGGGCCAGGGAAACAGTTTACCTATCAACACTTCATACCTGAATTAACAGCCCCCTGCCTGGGAGGGATCCCGCCTCCTCCCAGGTCTCCCGGAGAGGGCGGTCACCACTCATTTCTTAGACATTTAATGAATGCTGGACCCTGCGGGAAGAGATGAGAAAAATCCATCTCTGTCCTCAAATGGAGTGATGCGGGTGGGATGGCGACAGAAAAAGATCACAGGAGCCTCACTTTCTAGCCCATCCCTGCCATCTTTGCTCTGTGACCTCAGGGAGGTCACTGTGGGCCTCAGTTTCTTCCTCTGTAAAAAGAGGGTGTGGGACTAAGTGGTCTTTAAGGTACCTTCCAGCTTGACCATGCCATAAGACACAACCATTAGCTGAGTTGGTAAACGCCACCACAGAGGGAAAGGGATCCTGGTTGGCAGTGCCCAGCACCTGGCTCTAAGAGCATTGAAAAGGCGGATCCCATCGGCAGCCCCGCAGATCTGGATAAGGTCCTGGCGGGTAAGCTTCAGTAGATCAGTGCCTGCAGAGTCAGAAAGGGCCAGATTAGGGGAAGAGGCCTGGGATCAAGCGTGGCAAGGGACACAATCCAACATTAGTCTACAAATCGCCCTAGTATGTCCAGACATGGGGATCAAACTTGGATTCAAATCCCAGTTCTGCCCCTTGTTAGCTGTGTGTCTTTGGGCAAGTTATTTAACCTCTCTGGGCCCTATCTGCATGGGTAGTATATAAATTGTATGGGGTGATACAGGAGAAGAGAGCCAAGCAGGCGTAGTGCCTGGCAACTCTCAGTCCTAAAGAGAAGTTAGCTGAAGAACACACGGCCAGCCAGGCCACAGGCAGGCGTCCTGCCCTCAGTCCCCTACAGGTAAGGTCCCTGCCGGACCCCAGCCTCACCAGTGAAGTTGGCCAGCCCCCGACAGTAGCTGGAGAACCGGTGCCGATGCAACCACTGCTGCGTCTCTAGGATGGAGGCTCCAGGGTTCAGATCCTGAGGCACGAAGAGGGCAGTCCAGGTTGTCACCATGGGCCCACGGACTGAGAACAGGAGGAGAAACACAGCCCCCTGCCCTAGGCGGGCCCACGTCTGAGAGCCCGCAGGCTCATCCCCGCCCCGTCCTCTCAGGAATCAGTTTGGCCATCTGCGGCCATACAAGCTCTGTCCAGCAGGGGGCAGCGCCACCCCATTCCGGAGAGGCCGCTGAAGCCCCGAGGAGGCTTTGAGACACAGGTGGGGGGCATTGGAAAGGGAAGACGCACCTCAGCGGGGCTGCCCCCCAAGGTGTCCAAGGCGAACGGCGGGGAGGAGCAGAGCCTGTGGGGGAGCAGAGAGTCGGCAGTGCAGCCAGCCTCCAGCGCCACCCCCCCTTCCCTGGGAGGCAGAGCTTGCTGGGGTCCCCCGCCCCCGCCCCCCGGATTACCCAAAGGCCACAGAGCTGACTGAGCCTCTGGCCCTCAGCCGCACCCTCGACCCTGCCCCTCCCCGGATGCCTGGGCTGAGGGGCTCTTCTCTTCGCGCTCAGCCCGGAGGCCTGAGAGGGGCTCACCGCGCCTCACCTCTCCGGGGACAGGGGCTTGCAGCAGTGGGGAGAGGTCAGAGCAAGAGGGCCGAGCGGCGAGGAGGGCCCTGCACTGGGGTCCGGCCACGGCGAACACTGTGGGGCAAACAAGCCGCAAGGCTCCGCCTACACGTTCCGAGGCCAGGGGCGGCTCTTCCCTCACCTCTGTCCCGCGGGAGCTGACCGGGGCGGGGGCGGGGGGGGGCGGCGCCCGGGGCCACCCTTGGCCCCCGCCCTAGGAGGCCCGGACCAATCGACCAAACGCCACTCAAAGGAAGAGAGTAAACCAGCCCGCCGGGCTGGCTGGGGGAGCTGGGGAAGCTTCCAGGAGCCGCTAGCCAGAAGCGGCAGCAGGAAGGGCAGCGCTCCAGGCAGAGGGCGCCGCGGCAAGGCGGGCGAAGGCGGGTGCGGGAGAGGCAGCCCGGGAGGCTGGAAGGTGTTCGCGCCTGAGCCTGGAACACACGGTGCGGCTTTGTCCTTGCAGGGAACAGGCGGAATCGCTGGGGATTGTGATGGTCCTGCAGCAGCCACGGCCCTCAGGCCTCAGTTTCCCCGCACGCGCAAGGAGGATCCTTCCTCCAAACCCGCTCTGCGGCGCTCGGCGCCCCGCCACACACCTCGGCGAACACCGTGCTCTCACAGGCAGCCTGGTACTGGTCTCTCTCCCGCAGGGGCTGTTTGTCCAGCTTCTCCCGGTCTGTTTTCAGCTTGCGGTCAGCTCCTTTGGGCTACAGGCGAGGGACAAAAGCAGCTCAGAGCCCCCCGCCCCCTTACCTGCCCCCTTCTCACTACAGAAGGGGCTCCAAGCAAGAGATCAAGCCCCATCCCTCTGTGCATTGACAAGGGGCTGCAGGCCGAGGGAACCCACCCAGCCGGCCGAGCAGGGTGACAGTCCTGAGGGGGTGGGGGGGCCTGCCTGTACCTTGAACACCTTGATGAGGCACCCCGCTGAGTGCAGGTGCTCAGGTGGAAGGTCCTTGTCGCTGGGCTTGAAAGTGTCAATCTGGAGGCGGAAGGGGACACCTTTCTCCCCACCTTTCTTCCGAGGAGTGAACTCGGTGCTGATGCAGTGAACCTGAGGTGAAGAAGAAGCAAAGAGAAAGCTGGGTGACCCCAGGTCCCACCCACATTCAAGAAAGTCCACCATCAAACCTGTTACCTGCCTGTCACCTGTCAGCCTTTTACCACCGCAACTTTCCATCCCCAACTGGAGTTTATTTCTTAATACGTACCTTTATTAGTTTCTTTCCCTTGTTCAAAATCCTTCAGTAGCTCCCCATGGTTTTGGGATGAGAAGCAAAGTTCCTGACCCTCGCGTTCGAGCCCCTTAAAGAGTCACGTCAAGCCTTTCTGCATGGCTGCTCTCTCTCCCCCATTAGAGAACCCACTGACCCACCGAGCCAGCCTAATCGTGGCCCCCAATACACTTGCATAGTTCTCCCTAGAATCTTCTACCTGGAAAGCAATGCCTGCTCCTATCTAAGCCAAAACGCCCCATTCCAGGGTAGAGTTGCCAGTTAAAATGCAGGCATGCCCTGTTAAATTTGAATTTCAGGTAAACAACAAATAATTTTTTAGTATAAATATATCCCAACTATTTCATGGGACATTCTTCCCCTCACCCCATGGGACATTCTTTTTTTAAATTATTTTTTAAAGATTTTTATTTATTTATTTGACAGAGAGAGACACAGCGAGAGAGGGAAAACAAGCAGGGGGAGTGGGAGAAAGAGAAGCAGGCTTCCCGCTGAGCAGGGAGCCTGATGCGGGGCTCGATTCCAGGACCCTGGGATCATGACCTGAGCTGAAGGCAGATGCTTAACGACTGAGCCACCCAGGTGCCCCCCATGGGACATTCTTTTTTTTTTTTTAAGATTTTATTTATTTATTTGAGAGAGAGGATGAGATAGAGAGAGCATGAGAGGGGGGAGGGTCCAAGGGAGAAGCAGACTCCCTGCTGAGCAGGGAGCCCGATGCAGGACTCGATTCCGGGACTCCAGGATCATGACCTGAGCTGAAGGCAGACGCTTAACCAACTGAGCCACCCAGGCGCCCCACCATGGGACATTCTTACAATAACAAGTTCTTTATCTAAAATAGAAATTTAGGGACGCCTGGGTGGTTCAGTTGGTTAAGCATCTGCCTTTGTTTTTTTAAATCAAATGGAAATCAAACTTTAAATACAAGTTTGTCTTCTGCTTTCTTTTTACTTATAGGAGAGCAGTTTCTCTTGTCATTAGCCATCACTTTGAAGATTTATTTACGTATTTGAGGGAGAGAAAGAGAGCAGAGCCAGAGCGAGCGAGAACACTAGTGGGGAGGAGAGGCAGAGGGAGAGGGAGAAGTAGGCTCCCCGCTGAGCAAGGAGCCCGATGTGGGGCTCAGTCCCAGGACCCTGAGATCACAACCAGCCGAAGGCAGATGTTTAACCGATTGAGCCACCCAGGCGCCCCTAGACCTCACTGTAATGGCTACATAATTTCTAGTGTACGTCTGCACTCAAACTTATGTAAAAGTCAATTGTCTTCCAACGTACATTTTGAATGTTTAAAATTTTTTGAGTATGAGAAAGAGCGCTGCTATGAAGGGCTGGTCACTATATCTTCACATAGGGAGCGCCTGGGTGGCTCAGTTGTTAAGCATCTGCCTTGGCCTCAGGTCATGATCCCAGGGTCCTGGGATGGAGTCCCGCATCGGGCTCCCTGCTCAGAGGGGAGTCTGCTTCTCCCTCTCCCTCTGCCTGCCACTCTGTCTACTTGTGCTCTCTCTTTCTTTGTCAAATAAAGTCTGAGATGGAACCACTGGGGGGCTGGCGCCTGGGTGGCTCAGTCAGTTAGGCGCCTGACTCTTGGTTTCAGCTCAGGTCATGATCTCGGGGTCTTGAGATCAAGTCCTGCTTTGGGCTCTGTGCTGGACGTGAAGCCTGCTTGGGACTCTCTTTTCCTCTGCCCCCCCCAAATAAATAAATAAATCTTAAAAAAAAAAAAAAGGAACAACAGGGTAGAATGCTAGGAACATAAAATTCAATAAATTTTGCCCAAGTGCTATTCTACCCACAGAATGAGTGCACAAACTATTTCTTCTTCTAATTTTTTTTTAAGGAGCTAGAAGTTTATTGAATACACTGCAAGGGGGCAGCAGGCAGACAGTGGAAAGGCCGTCTGCCTCCCCAAACTACTTCTTCACCAATAAGTCTTTTTTTAAGTCTTTACCATATATATATATATATATATATATATATATATGCGCATTTAATTAACATTTTCTGAGGTTGAGGTTGAACTGTCTACATTTATTGGTAATTTGTATCCTTCTTGTCTGCTTATATCCTTTGCGTATTTTTCTACTGAGTTTCATCTACTTTTTCTTATTGATATATGAGAACTTTTTATATATTGAGGATATAAAGCATTATATGTCATATGACAACTATTTTTCCCATTTGATGTCTCCTTTTAATTTGCCTATGTATTGCAGACCATTACTTTTTATGAAGCTAAGTTCTGTCCTGAGTTTTCTAGCTTCTTCCAATGCTTTAAGGTTTAACAAGTCCTTCCTTGTGGTGAGATTCAATAAACATTTAGCCATATTTTATCTTCAAGGTGCTTTCTGGAAGCGGTTTGTTCTTACTGTTCCCTCACCCCCACCCAAACTCACCTTCCTTTCCCACCTAGGCTCCTGCCACTCCCATCTAACCTCAAACCTCCTCCCAGTCCCAGCTTCAGACTCACCTGCAGGAAGAGAGAGGTCTTCTTGGTTGGGTCCCAATGAAACTCCACTGTGTTGAGTTGTGAGGGCAGCACCTGGGGTTCTATCACCCCCACGGACAGTGGCACATCTGCAGGCACAGGGTGGCAAGCAGGGAGCAAGCCTCAGCTCCCCCCCATCCACATGGCCTTCCAAGCCCGAAAGCGGCCCTGACGGGTCCCTGGTCCCTCCCCATTCACCGATGTCCAGGATGCGGTCGCCTGGCCGGCTCCATCTCCACCCATCCAGCTGCTCTTGCTCTGTGTACTGCAGGCGCCGGTCATGGAAAACCACACGCACCACACTCTGGGGGCACAGGAAGTCACGGCTCACAGGTCAGAGGGTGCCTGGGCATTTGGGAACCAGTTCCCACCGCTGGGGTAGGCCAACCATCCCACCCTCCTCGCCCCCACCTTGCTTCCCACCCTCAGGGTCATAAGCACTTAGATCGCTAGGTCTGTGTCCAGACACCCACCTGCCACTCACTAGCTATGAAACTGGGGAAGTGACCTAGACACCCTGAGCCTCAGTTTCCTTATCTGTGAAATGGGGGAGTTAATCCTTTCCCACTCTTAGCCACTCTACTTGTTTCTTTTCTTGAAGCACTTTTCAATTTGCAATTGGTAAATCGATTTGTTATTGCATATAACTTGTTTAATTACATGTTTGTCTCAGTAGAATGCAAGCTCCCTGAGGAAGGGAACCACATCTGTCTCTTTACTGTTGAATCCCTAGCTCATAGAATAGTTTCTGGCAAAGCATGGGAGCTAAATATATAATTTTTTGGAGAGAAGGAATCATGCATATGAATGCTATGTAAATGTACTTCTAAATCCCAGATCCACTACTTTGTGTCCTTGAGAAAATATTTAACCTCTGTGCCTCTTTCCTCAACAATGCCTGCCTACCACTGTGTGGCTGTGAAGGTCAAGTTAAAAGGTGGGCTTGAGAGGGTTCTACTCAACAGTCACATCACAGTGATGACATTGGCTTCCTGCCCAGAGGGACAGTCATGCTCAGCCCTTCCCAGTTCGGGAAGGGATGTATCTACCTTCAACAGCTGGGCCCACTGGGTAGCATTGCTCAGCTTGGGGTTGCACAGCATCCGCACCTCATAGGACTGGCCTGGGAGAGGTCAAGGGGATGTATGAGCCCCACTGGGGCCGAAATGGAGCCTGCCACCCCCATCTCGTGCTGCCCCAATATGACTTTTCCTTCCCCAGGCCCAGCAGCATACCCTGGTTCAGGTAGGTGAGGGTCTCTTCCTGCTGCTTCACAGCCGGGGAGGTGGCTGCACAGAGAACGTACTGGAATGCGGGGCAGGGAGGCTCCGAGCTGGGGATGTTGTGTAGCTCTTCCTGCTTCAGGTAGGGCAAGGGCAGGGACTCCCTGTTGGGGGAGGGAAACACTGGTGGCTTCCACCCCATCCCCTGTAGGGCTTTGACTCTCTCTGCCAGATCCTCAGGGAGCCAAAGGCTTCTGTAGCAGGCACTCCAGCAGCAGCCAGGGCCCAAGAGTCCCCCATTCAACTCCTCTGGCCTCTGGGAGACCACCCTTCAGGGGCAAATTCCAGATACTACCAAACGTCTCCAAAAACCTGCCATCAATTACTTGTTTGCCATCTCAGGGCTTATCTGATACCAAGTAAATGCCCAACAAAAGTGCCCTGAGAGGGTGGGTGGTCAAGGTGTTTCAAGATGGTCCAGGATCCACTAAACGTTCGACCATTCCTCTACCCGCAAAGGCATCCAAGCACAGGAAGCCCACCCCCCTCCACTTGAAACGGATGGCCCTATCGGTCCACCGCAGCTCAGACCAGACCCATCCTTGGAGGCTAGGGGAAGGGGTTCTGGCTCTTACCTGAGCAAGCCACTTGAAGGCCCTGGGTACAGTTCCCCGGGACTGGGCCATAGGTGGTCTGGCTGGTTGTGCCAAAACAGCATCTTGGAAAGGGAGCAGGGCCAGCTGTCTGACAGAGAGCTCAGCACTGGGTTGGGCTGGCACCACTGAACTGTCTACCTGGGGCCCCAGCCTTTATACACAGAAGCAAACCCACAAAAGGGTGGGGCAAGGCCAGGAATCTTCTATTGGCTGCGCATCCAGGGCTCTAGAAAACATGGGACCTATCAGGCACCCCAAGGTGGGGGTGTGTCAAGAAATGGTGTACCCAGGGCTCCCCACCAATCATTAAATCAAAGGGGAGATGGTGGTGCTGCAAAACAAAGTCCCAGGGGTGGATATCCACTCCCCACCATTTCCCAAGGGGCTCAGGAACAATGAGCGGCACCCTTAGGCTTCAAGATTGGCCCCAGATCCGTAAGCCGTGGAGAATCCTGGAGATTCATGGGCCTGGACCCCTCACATGACCCTGGGAATGGGGCCTGACCGCTCCAGGGGACAGGACGAGGAGACACACAGCATCGCATGGACCTACAAAGGGCCTTCACTCCCAATGGCCTCCCATTTCTCCCCTCCCCCCACCCCAGGCGCAGTGATGGCAAGACACCTGTCCTTCTGCTAGGGGCTGTCTGGCTAGGGGCCTGCAGTTTACAGAACATAGTCCAGCTTGCTGTGGAAACAACTCTGGCTGGCGCTGGGAGGGAGAGCCTGAGCGTGGGGAGGAGGGGGTGTGCCAGGGAGTGCCTCCTCCCAGGGCAGTAGGAGAGGAGTCCCAGGACAGTGGTGTTTTTGCTCCTCCTCTGCCTGGGGGCATGGGCCCACTGTGTTTATGGACAAATAAGGTCTGCCTGGGGGATGGCTTCTTCCCCACACTCAGTCCCTGTTGTCATTGTACACAGACTGGGGGGGGGGTTGTTATGCCCACCCCCCACTACTGTGTTTGGTATAAACAGACAAGGGCCTTGCAAAGAGCAGAAACAGCCTTTAAAGATGTAGCCTGGCCTCATGTGACCCCAGCTTTCCAGGCTTTGTGATTCTGGGGGGCCTACCTGAGCGAGAGAGAAAACCGAAGAGTACCCCCCTGATACCAGGCAGGGCATCTCCATCTCCAGGCACCTGGCCCTTGGTCCTCTCCATGCTTTCCCCTCCCATGAAGCCAGACGAAATGGAAGGGGGAGAAAAAGGGGATGGGAACATGCCTGCCAGTAAGGACCAAAGAAGCTTGAGTCCCCGAGATCCCCATGATGAGCTCCCTAAGACTTTGAGAACCCATCCATTGCCCAAAGTTGGATTCAAGGCCAGAGGCCCCCACAAAACCCTCCAAGGTTGGATAGAACGGGATTGCAGGAAGGCCAGGGGAAGGGGAGTCAGAGGGGACCCAACAGGGCTGGGCCCTGGCCTGAGGGGAGCAGGGGGTAGGGGTGGTGGGGGTGGGCAGAGGAGATGAGCAGCTGAGTGGAGGCTTGTTTTAGGGGTGGAGGTAGAAAAGGTAGAGGCTGGTATGGGCGGCCTTCCTCCTTCCAGGAAGACACCGGGAGGAGCCAGTCAAGGGAGTGGGTGGGACTCCAGTTCCAGAACCCAATCCCCCACCACTTGGCCTCTACCTCCAAAGGCCTCTGTATCCTCCCCCGTCTTCCCCCCTGAGGCTGCCTCTCCCCAGCTCTCTTAGCTACTCCTTCTTTCCACCCATCTCAGAGTCTCTGTGCTCTGTCCCCATCCAGATGGTGTTGGGCCTGTTCCTGGTTTTCTTTGGCTCTCCCGCTAAGGAAAAAAAGCTGGGTTTGAGGCAGACAGATCCTGGCCAGTCCCAGCCCCCACCTCACTCTGTGCCCCCTGAGCCAGCACAGCACAGGGTCTGAACGGCCCATCCTCTGGCCAGAGAGGCCCTAAGAAACTTCTGATCCAGGTCCCCCACTCTCAGAGGAGTCTCAGGTCCTGGGAGGTGTGAGGGGTGAGGCCCCTCCAAGCAGGGGCACTTTAGGCACATTACCTTCCTGAACGCCCTTTCCTCCTCTGTAAAATCAGACGAGGTCTCCCTCCTATTCAGCGTGGGAGTGAAATTCTATGCAGTTTCATCTGATCCCAGGGTTTGATCCTCAGAGGCCCCCATTGGGGTGGTGGTGGACACCACCAAGGACCCCAGTGTCCCCACCAGAGCCTCGTTCTGGGAAGTACAGATGGGACTATCCCAGAAACCTCCCCCCACACAGGTAATTTCAGAGTTTTGAGGGGAGATTTTTTTTAAGATTTTATTTATTTGAGAGAGAGAGAGAGAGCATGATTGGCGGTGGGGGGAAGAGCAGAGGAAGAGGGAGAAGCAGGCTCCCCGCAGAGCAGGGAGCCCAGATGTGGGTTTGATCCCTGGAGTCGGGAATCATGAGTTGAGTGGAAGGCAAACACTTAACCAACTGAGCCACCCAGGTGCCCCATGGGAGATTTTTTTTTTTAAAGATTTTATTTATTTGACAGAGAAAGACACAGCGAGAGAGGGAACACAAGCAGGGGGAGTGGGAGAGGGAGAAGCAGG